TGGGCTAGAGATATGGCTAAGCTTTAAAGAGCACTTAATGGTAGTCTAGAGGACCTGAGTTTGGTTTCCAGCCCACATATCTAGTAGTTCACAACCACATCTAACTCCAGCTCCAGGGAGATTTGATTCCTCTGGCTTCCTCTGGCACCTTTACACATATGTATGTATTTTATCCACACATGAACAAACAAATTAAAAATAAAATAAAAAATATTATGAACTAATTAATCTGGTGGAGGAAGCCTTCTTGTGTACAAATGGCAAATGGGCTTAGAGAAAAATCAAGGTAAGAACACCCTTTACAATAGACACAGATAATATAAAATACCTTGAGGCTAAATCTAGCCAAGCAAGTGGAAGACCTATATGATAAAAACTTCAATTCTTTTAAGAAGGAAATTGAAGAAGATAGAAAGAGCTCCCATGCTCATGAATTGACAGGATTAACATAGTAAAAATTACCATCCTACAAAAAGTAATCTACAAATTCAAATTAATTATCATCAAAATTCTAACATAAATCTTTAAAGACTTTAAAAGAATAATACTCAACTTCATGTGAAAAAACAAAAAATCCAGGGTAGCTAAAACAATCCTGTACAATGGAACTTCAGGAGATATCACCACCATCCCTGATTTCAAGCTGTAATGTAAAGCAATAGTAATAAAAACTGTGTAATTGCATAAGAACAGAGAGGTTGGTCAATGGAATAGAATCGAAGACCCAAATGTAAATCCACACACCTATGAACACTTAGTTTTTTACAAAGAAGCAAAAATTATACCATCAAAAAAAGGAAGCACCTTTAAGAAATGGTGCTAGTCTAACTGGATGTCTGCAGGTAGAAGAATGCAAATGGATCCATGCATAAAACTCAAGTCCTAGTGGATCAAAGACCTCAACATAAAACTGGATACACTAAATCTAGTTAGAAGAGAAAGTGGGGAAAAGTCTTGAAAGCATTTGTACAGGAGACAACTTTCTGAACAGAACATCAACACCAACAATTAATAAATGAGACCTCATAAAACTAAAAAGCTTTTGCAAGGCAAAGGACACTGTCAATAGGGCAAAATGGCAACCTAGAGAATGGAAAAAGATCTTCACCAACCCTGCATCCAACAGAGGGTTGATAACCAAAATATATAAAGAACTCAAGAAATTAAATACCAACAAACTAAATAACCCAATTAAAAATAGGGTAAGGAGCTAAACAGAGAATTCTCACAGGACTCTAATGGCTGAGAAGCACTTAAAAAAATATTCAATGGTCTTAGTAAGCAGGGAAATGAAATGAAAATCAAAATGACTCTGAGATTCTAACTTAAACCTGTCAGAATGGCGAAGATTAAAAACTCAAGGGACCACACATGCTGAAGAGGATGTGGAGAAAGGGGAACACTCCTCCTTTGCTAGTGGGAGTGCAAACTTGTACAACCACTTTGGGAATCAATCTGGAGATTTCTCAGAAAATTGGGAATAGTTTAACCTCAAGAACCATCTATACCATTCCTGGGCATATACCCAAAGGATGCTCGACAACACTGCAAGGACGTTTGCTCAACTATGTTCATAATAGCCAGAAACTGGAAGCAGCCTAGATGTCCCTCAACCGAAGAATGGATAGAGAAAATGTGGTACATTTACACAGTGGAATAATACTCAGCTATATTTTTTAAAAGGGCATCAATGCAATTTGCAGGCAAATAGATGGAACTAGAAAATATCATCCTGAGTGAGGTAACCCTAACCCAGAAAGACAAGCATGGTATGTACTCACTTCTAAGTGGATATTAGACATAAAGTACTGATAGCCATGCTATAATCTTCAGACCCAAAGAAGCTAAGAAACAAGGAAGGTTCAAGGGAGAATGCTTGAATATCACTTGGAGGGGAAAATAAAATAAACATCTGAAGTAGGGGAGGAAACAGGGAACAGGACAGGAGCCTACTACAGAGGGCCTCTGAAAGACTACCCTGCAGGGTATTGAAGCAGATGCTAAGACTTATAGCCAAACTTTGGGTAGAGTGCAAAGAACAGGGAGTTAGAAAGACCTGGGGGGGGGGGGACAGGAGCCACACAAGAAGAGCAACAGAACCAAAAAGTCTGGACACAGGGATCTTTTCTGAGACTGATACTCCAACGAAGGACCATGCATGGAGATAACCTAGAACCCCTGCTCAGATATAGCCCATAGCAGCTCAGTATCCAAGTGGGTACCCTAGTAAGGGGAACAGGGACTGTCTCTGATATAAACTCAGTGGCTGGCTCTTTGATCACCTCCCCCTTAGGGGGGTGCAGCCTTACCAGGCCACAGAGGAAGACAATGCAGCCAGTCCTGCTGAGACCTGATAGGCTAGGGTCAGATGGAAGGGGAGGAGGACCTCTCATATCAGTGGACTGGGAGAGTGGCATGGGTGGAGAAGAGGGAGGGGGGTGAGATTAGGAGGGAAAGAGGGAGAAGGCTACAGGTAGGATACAAAGTGAATAAAGTATAATTAGTAAAAATGAAAATTATCTTTTAATAAAAGAAGTATAGAGATAACGATGGAGCAGAGATTGAGGGAACAGCCAACCAATAACTGGCCTAACTTGAGACCCACCCCATGGAAGAGAACCAGCCACTGACACTATTAATGATACTCTGCCATGTTTGCAGACAGGAGCCTAGCCTAACTGTCTTCTGAGTGGTTCCATCCAGCAGCCGATGGAAACAGATGCAGAGACCCACAGCCAAACAATCGGCCAAGTTCAGGAGTCTTGTGGAAGACTGAAGGAAAGGATTGAGGGAGCTAGAGGGGCGAAGGACACCAGAAGAAGACCAACAGAGTAAATTAACCTGGGTTCATGGGGGCTCACAGAGACTGAACTACCAATCAAAGAGCTTGAATGGACTGGACCTAGACCCCCACACAAGTGTAGCAGTTGTGCAACTTGATCATCATGTGGTTTCTCTAACAATTTGAGGAGGGGCTGTCTCTGACTCTGTTACCTGCTTTTGGTTCACTTTCTCATAGCTAGGCCTTGTTTGGCCTCAGTGGGAAAGATAAGCTTAGTCTTGCTGTGACTTGATGTGCCAGGGTGGGTTGTTACCCATGATGGGCTCCCTTCTCTGGGAAGGGAAAAGGGGAATGCTGGGAGAGGGCTTTGAGAGTGAGACTGAGAAGAAAGGAGGAAGGGGACTTTGATTAGGCTGTAAGGTGATTCTAAAAAGTTAAAACATGATAAAAGATAAAAAATAAGTATGGATGAATAATTACATAATTTTTAATTACAGAATTTAAAATGTCATGGGCTAATTAATCTGGTGTGTATGTGTACTGCAAATGGCTAGTTGGAGCTCACATACTCTGTGTGATAGATATGAGCTACAAAAAACATTCATACAAAAATGAATGTTTGCTCTGCTGGCTTTCAATTTTTTTTTCTAGTCTCTTATCCCTCCATTTTGGAATGAGGATATCTGTTTTGTGTCATTGTGTCTTAGAATAGAACCTCTTTCTTTGTGACTTTTAGAGGCTCTCAGGTGCTAGTTGGCTTTGAACTTCAGAGGGGATTTTGGCTCTGAACTTCTTAACAATGTTGGAAGGGTAGGGTGCTTGATTGGAAAGCTGTATCTGATTCTTGATTCCTTCTTCTGTCAAGTTGTGACTAGCTTCTAACATGCTTCCCTGCCATGAGGTTCTGCTTCATAATGGCCTTGGAAACAATGGAACTAAGGACTAAAATCTTGGTACCTGTGAATCAGAATCTTTCATTATCTGAGTTGTTTATGTCAGGTATTTTATAAGAGAAGCAGAAAGCTGCTAGTATCTTCAACTTTCTGCTTCTCTTATGAAGATGAGAAGAGTTGAGACGAGAAATCAATTAAAATAAAAAAGCAAACAAGTCAATAACTCTATTGATGAACTCAAATCTTTTGAGTGGGGAGAAGTAGGATTAAAAATAACATGAGGAAAAGCAATCCTTGTAATACTAGAACACTGAATTCAGAATGTTGAAATGCCTATTGAGCTGTGTTTCCAGGTAGGGTACCTCCCTACTGGATACTGCGGCGAGTTTATAGACTGCACAAGAGTGGCCTGACCTTATAAGTGGTGTCAACATGTATTTTTCAGATGTCAGCTTTCACACTTTCAGAATTCTGTAAGGAAGCTGGAAAGATGGCTCGGTGCTTCAGAGCACTTACTGAGCTTGCAAAGGACGCTGGTTCAATTCTTAACACACATATTACGGGGCTCACGCTGCTGTAACTCCAGTTTCAGAATATCTGAAGCCTTCTGGCCACTACCTCCTCACGTACTTATACATGTAGGGTAAACAAGTTCAGGAAGGCACACAAACACACATAAGCTAAAAACAAAACAAAGCAAAACAAATAAATCCATTAAGGAAAAAGGGTCTTTAAAAAGAAAAATATAATTCTGGAAGCTGAGTATGGTCACACAAACCTGTAATCCCAGCAATGGAAAGGGGGAGGCAGTAGAATCTCCTTAAGTTCAGGCCAGCCTGCTCTAAACAGTGAGTTGCAGGACAGTCAGGGATACCTAGCGATACCTTATCTTTAAAACATTAACAAAAAACAAAATGAAAACAATCGTACTTCTGGAAGTCTGGCAGTATCTTGACAAGTGTGTAATTAAAAATAGTTATGGAGAAAGACAACTGAGGTTGCATAAAATTACTGTCAACTGAGCTTCAAGTATTTGTTAATAGACATATTTTATAAATCCCAAAGAGGGTGTTTTCACTGACATTCAGAACAATATTTGTGAAAAGTTGGTCAGAATACTTAGGTGAAACCCATGCCAGAAAATAAAGGCTGAAGACATGGGCTAAATCTAACTAAGGAAGACCCTCTGAAAGTAAACAATACTTATTCTAATACTTGTAATTATTAACTTTTACATGTTTGATTAGCCATCATAGATAAATTTTGATTGTTTTAATTGAGTTAAAAATAGCCCAACTAAAAGTTGTTTCCATTTACTTTGAAAGGAATGCAATGTTGATTCTGAGGCATTGATGTTTTACAATGCCTGATCAAGACACAAAGGTGAAGAGCACAGAGAAATCAGCTGATAAGAAGCAGCAAGGGACCACCACCAGGTAACTGAGTGCACTCATCCAATGGGGTGGCGGCACTGAGTGGGGTTAATGCTTCCATGAGAAACTGTCTCCTAGATTGCAGTGTTTATGGAAACACCAAGTGCTTTCTAGAGTTTGGAACGAAATGGTTGACAGGCATGCCCTTATCTACAGGGGCAGGCTTCCAAGGAACTGCACCATCAGTGATCTTGCTTACCTGGATCCTTCTGTGGGCTAACATTGTGCTGTTCTTTTCTCCTAGGGACTACTCAGATCTTAAAAGACTTCGGTGCCTTTTGAACGTTCAGTCAAGCAAACAGCAGGTAGTATTGTCAAAGGCTAAGGCGTGTGAACAGCCACCACGTGTTTCTGAAAGGGTCCATTTCCCATCCTTGTGTATACTTTCTTTGTTCTTCCATAGTTTTTCGTGCTTCTCTTCTGGCTGCTTCTCTCACCTGGGCGAGGCTCTGCCAAGACTTGGCATCTGAAGCCTGTTTCTTCTCTGCTTGTCACCGTATATTCTAACCAGCAGAACTTGAATTCTCCAGTCTGTAAACAGTCAGTTCTATCATCAAAGACCAGTGTTTATCTTTCAGAACTTTAGGGAATTTCATTCTGCAATGCCCAGTTTACCACATCTTTCTCCTCTCCATACCCCAAATCCTTCTTTTTCATAGAATACGACCCTCCACCCCAATGCTTCTCAAATTGCATCCTACCAAAAAGGAGATGAGTTTTTAGCTATTTGTTATAGCATTTTTATACCTTTATTAGTCAAGGAAAGAATGGAAGGAACTCTTGATCTACCTCTAAACTTCACTTCTTAGTTTTGCTTCTAGAAGACTTTGGAAAGTAATGAGAGTAGAGGTCATTGACTGGGGGTTTGGGAAACAACCTAGAAGCCCTAAGAATAACAGCAGACACCATGCAGTGCTGGATGGGCTTGAATCCTGGTCTTCTGTCTCCAAAGTCCCCAATATTATCCATTGTTTAAGAGTTCACAGGTTGGTAATACCATTATCATGTTTTATTGTTTATCATATTTATTTTATAGAGTGACTTCCTTAAGATTTGGTGGTTCATGAAGGGCAAATAGGACAGTTCCTGCTTAGGGAATTCTTGCTATGTGCCAGTGCCTTCTTCATGTTTGCACCATTCACTTTCACAGACGGAAAATCTGCAGCAGAGAGAAATGACCACCTCAGGATAAAATGATCATGGAATGCAGTTCTACATCGAAACAGCCCAGTTCTGCACTGTGTGTCCTAGCCACAGAGATACTTTTCAATGAGCTGGAAAATTAACTAACAGTTAAAAACATTTGAACCAGTCAAAATGTCCTTAAAATAGATTTTCTCTGTGAGCCTTTTCCTCTGTGTCATTCATGCTGCCACATCCCTGATATCTCCTCTTCTGTACCTACTTATTCTAGAAGTTACCTCTCCTCTGTTCTATCTTAGATCCCGTTCTCTTCCTACTCATATCCTCCAGTGTAACCACAACACCCCAAGCTACTTTTTCTCCTGGAATTCTTCCCTGTTTCTCAGACCCAAATCAACTCCCCTGCCTCCACAGAAGCCCCCTCTTCTACACCAGGCCGCACTCACCACCTGCAACACTCCTTCTTCATGGTAGCAGCTTTCTCTCTTGCCTTGGGGAATCTTGTGTTTTCACTGCCTGATAAGATCTTTTCATGGCCAGCAACCTTGACTTTGCTTCTGATTCATTGTCTTATCTACTCCACATATTTGTGGTTAGTTTTTCCTCGTTGAACTGTGACCTGGGAATTGGGCCACTATGAACACAAACAAGCCCTGGCTAGGTGAAGAGATGCCCACAGTGTTTCTGGATTTGGTTTGGGTCTTAGAGTTTTCAATGCTGAAGTTCATATGACGATCTACTTTGCCTTCATTATGCCACTCCCTTGTTAGTGCTTGGCAGGGTTGTTTAAAGTTAGTTTAATGATTTCTTCTTTTTCAGCCAACCTAGAATTCTTAGTCATTTGCCTGAAAAAGTCATATATTTTTGCTAAATGTTCCCACACAGATAATGTATGTTTAACATGCGTGGGTTACTTAGAAAGCTGAGACCTGTAAGAGAGCATGCAGTGGCTTGACTCACTTGGAGGACAGATGGAGCCTACACTTCTCAAAATCTATGCCTAATTCTGTTGTGAAGGTTCCTGCATGTATCATCCTGATAACAAGGGTTACTGAGAGCTCTGTTCTCCTTGCCCGAAACAATGTAGATGTGTGTGAGGCAGAGGATTCTAGAAGGACAGCTCAGGAATTCCCATGTAGCCTGCTTGTTTCAGGAAGAATGCAAGGAGCATATTAGGATATACAGTGTAAGGGAGTTTATTATAAATTAAACCCACAGCCAAACATAATATGAGACACAAGGAAAGGGAGAGTCAGAGCAAGAAACCCCAACAAGTGCAAACAGGCCCGGCTTCTCAGATTTCCAGTGGTTCATTTGAGGAGGGATGCTTGTGAGTCAGGTCCAGTTACCAGAATTCTGCTGATGTGGCCTAGTTGTTTCTGTTTTTTATTTTTTTTTTATTTATATTTTGTTTGATTGTTTATTTACAAATGGGCTGTGATGACCAGTTACTAGACGTTCCAGGAAAAAAAAAAATGCAACTTGTGTGTTGGGCAGAGTTGCAGAGAAGTGAATGCCCTTCCTGTGATTCTCCAGGGAAGCCAGGCTGCCTGCCCCATTGTTGAGTTGTGCTGTGGCCCTTTGCCTCTGCTCACTGCCCTGCCTCCCTCACTGCCACATCAGAGCTGGTCTTCTGTGGGATTCCTGCTGCCTGACAGACTTGGGTCCACTGTCTCACCGTTACTTTTTGTCAGAACAAGCGCTGGGCTCTGACTTTGCAGAATGTTTCTCAAGCCCATGGAGTGGCTCCGGGTTTCTCTGTCCTTCACTGCAAATGCCTTGATCACTACACGTGCATGACTTGTCAGCACATGTTGTACCTTGTGCCTCCCACCGGTGTGTGGACTGGCTGAGCTCACTTCAAGTGCTTGCTGGATGAAAGAGTTAACTGGGGACAGAGTGAGCATTCATTCAACAGCTTCACGCTTGAATAGCAGCTCTGCGGTGGGTTTTGTGCAGTGTGCTAGGCACGTAAGAACAGATAGGTGGTTCTGCCTTCAGGGGGGCTCGGTCAGTTCAGGCGGATGGCTCGGCTCGTGTACAGGCTGGACGCTGTACTGTGGTGAGTGCAGTGAGCAAGACCCGCTCTGTTGAGCAGGCTCTAACCTGTCCACTGGCCTGGAATCAAGAGCTATGGGCTCCTCTGACACAGTGGACCTGGGCCAGTGAGCAGGAGAGTGGCAGGGGTAAAGAAATTCCTGGGGGTTCTAAATGAAGGTTGCTTTCATCTGAAGGAGCTGCTGGTATCAAGGATTTTATTATCAAGGCCCTGGTCTTTGTAGATATAGCTTGCTACTGTGTCTCACTGACGTGGTTCCTAGCATTCTTAGTATTGCCTGTCTGCCTGCTCACAATTGGGGTGGTTGAGAGCTGTACAACGTCCTGACATTCCTCTTCTTTGAGTGGCTTAGACTTATTTGCTCTGTGCTTGCTACCTTCTTTCTTGAAGACAGTATTCTAGGAGTTTTGTCAATGACAGTGGAGTTTGAAATTCCTTAGGCCTAGAAAACCCATTTCCTGTTTGCCTGTCTGTGTATGTATGTGTGTGTGTGTGTGTGTGTGTGTGTGTGTGTGCGTGTGTGTGCGCGTGCACTATGACAGCTCCTGAATAACAGGAAAATGGACTTATTTTTGTAACTTCATGTCTAATGCCTTTTTGGGCCATAAACCGACATTTGGAAATCACCTAATTTGTAATGACAAGCTTATTTACCTAGAAAATTTATGGTAGTGATTACAAGACTCATAAGAGTACTTTTAAAGGAGTTAGATTGTGCCTGCAAGTTTATACAGCAGGTGCTGTATAAACAGCGACTCGCTGAAGTCTCTTAACCCAGAGTTACACACTGTTATTATTACTTGTAATGACATGGAAACCAGTGTGCACAGGGATTAAATGCATTCTCCAAGGTCATAGTGCCAGCCAAGGGTGGATTAAACCCACAGAGTCTGATAGGGATGTGGTTTGATCACTAAACATTGCCTTGTACGTTCTTTCAATCACCTGATCACGAAGGGTGTAGACTGGGTAGCTGAACTCATACAGAAAGGCAGTTTTATAGATGGAATGTTTATTTTCACTTTTTGAAAATATCACTGTGACTGCAAGGTAAAGAAGCATCTTGGGAGGCTAGCTGTTAGACAATGATGCTGCTGTAATGCATTTCTCTGTTGACGGCCTTACAGGATGCAAGGAAGGTCACCTTTACATAAAGAAATCGCGCTCTTAATATTGATTTGCGTACAATGAAATAATTTACTGAAAACAGATCCGTTATTTTGCTTTGCTTACTTCCTACTTAATAATTGATTGTAGGGCATATTTTATTCACACTTTGGAAAAGATGGCACATTTTTTCCACATTATATCCGATTTCACATGGCACCAAAAACAAATCTTAGGGTTGTCTCAACCATAGCAACTATTGGCAAGTGAATAAGTCCTGACGACTGATGTAGCTGCCAGGTTGATCTTGTAAACAGCAGCACAGATACATTCTAGGTGTTCTAAACACGTTTGTTTTATTATAGTAAACTCAGAGATTTGAAACTAGTGTCTAAAGTATCATTGTTCAGGTTGAGCAATAGTGACAGGCTCTTGCCTTTTGCTGTGGCAGAGCCCTTGGCGCACAATGTACAGACTGCTGAATTCAGACAGAGGGACATTCTGCTCTCCGTGCAGCATGTGCTACCTGGGTTCAGAAACTCTCCAGCTGCATATCTGCAGCACACAAGATACTTCAAAAAACTTTGCTGGCTCAAACCTAACCTGTATCCCTAGTACTGATCTAAGTGCCCAGGAAACATCACTGAGTAAAATGCAAAGGTTCTTGCTTATGTCAATGTGAGACAGACTTAGTATACATGACAGTGATCTGTGGCAGGTGACATCCTTTGTGATGAAAAGAGTCCAAGCTAAAGAGTAAATGCTTATGTTAAGGATGCTTAAATCTTGGGAAACCCCATTTACAAACCTGTTATCTCAATTATTAGTCTAGTGGGGAAACACACTTTCCTTTGGCCCTCCCCTCTACCTCTGCCATTCTGCCATTTATTTTATCATGTGTTGAATGAGCCATAATAGTCATGAACTCTCTGTTTTCATTTCTGTAGCTTCCAGCCATTAACTTTGACAGTGCCCAAAATAACATGACGAAGTCTGAGTCCGCCATCAAGGCAGGGGCACTCAGAGCTCGTGGTCAGTGGCATGAGTCCACAGAAGCAGTTGAACTTGAAAATTTTAGGTAAGAAATCTCCCTTGTTGTCAACAGCCTATTCGATTTTACTTATTTAAATGTTTCACTGAAGTGAAAACTTGAAGTCTGAATATTTGTAGTTTAGTAACTTTAGTTAACCTGTGAAGTGTCCCTGGATTGAAGGAGGGAGAGCCCAAGTAACAGGTTGAATAGGCAGGCTTAGGTGGACCTGTCTTGGAGGTTCTGGACACCTTGCTGACATGAAGGTCAACAGTTGTCCACTGAGCAAGAGGCTCCAAGATGTTGAATGGGATAGGTCAACCCCAAGCTTGGTCTTAGTTTTTGTTGTTTCTCCATCTTTCTAGTGGTGAAAGGGATAAAGGAATCTGTTGCTGTGAATAGAGGTGGTGGCTAAGTACAATGTTTGCTGTCCTGGCAATATGGATCAGTGGGCAAAGGAGCTTGCTATCAAACGTTACAGTCTGAGCTCAATCCCTGCGACCCACATCATGGAAGGAGAGAACTGACTTCTTTCCTACACACACACACACACACACACACACACAAATAAATAAATAAATAAATGTAATAGTTTTTTGTTTTTTTAAAGATGATAGTTGAAAAATACAAGTTTCTCAGTTTCATGGAGAGTGTCTTGGCTTTAACCAAATAGTGTTAGTCTGCGTTTCTTTCTGTTGTTGTGTAGACCTTCTAGAGGCATACATTCTTGTGGGCCACTTCCTGGGAGCAAGCTCTCAGTGTTACTGTGCATTCAATTGCCAGTAAGTGCCGTGTAAACAATGAGTGGCGTGAATATGAACTATTATAGGATGCTCATTTACTTGTTTGGCTTAGCTTGTTTCTCTGGCATTTTATGAACTTAAACAGTTTCAGAAAAGTCATATGACATTTTATGGGCTCATATTTTTAACTTGTAAAAACTAAAAATGTCTTATTACATATTCAATTCACCAGTGACCTTATAAAAGAAATGGTTACGGCCCTGACCTGGCCTCATGTGAATGTAGAGTTGAATGGTATATGTAGGTGCAGAAAGGCAGATGCTCACGTGACCCATGTCACAGAACTTACCTTTAAGGTGAAGTTCATGGAATTTTACTTTATTTGGCCTTAATCTTAAAATTAGCCATGTTTTTTTACAGTGTGTGTGTGTGTGTGTGTGTGTGTGTGCATGTAAAATCTCATGTGCCACACTGTACATGTGGAGTTTGGAGGAACTTTGTGGAGTCGATTCTCTCCTTCTATATTTGTGTGGGTCCAAGAGTAGACCTGAGGTCACTAGGCTTTGTCAGCAAGCTCCTTTCCTAGCTGAGTCCTCTTACCAGCTCTTAGAATAATGCTTTTTTATCAACTTTACCACTGAGTTTGAGTTCCTGTTCATCAGTTGTTGCTTGCCCTTACTAATATGTTGACCTTAACACTCAATATTTTGTCTCAAATATGTAGGTGGCCTAGATGGCCTTTGTTTTCATTGGTAATTTTGCTAGCCCAAATAGTGTTTCTTATAAAGTGTTTTTCTGTTTTGTTTTGTTTTTTTCATCTTAGTATAAACTACAAGAATGAGAGGAATTTCAGCAAGCACCCACAGCGTCAGTTATTTCAGGAGATCTTTACAGCTCTGGTGGGAAACAGACTGAGGTGCAGGTGAGGCTGGGCCCCAAAGACGGACCTCTAATCAAGAGCGCTGTGTTTCCTGGGTCCCGTATGGAGAATGTGCCTTGAAGCAGCACAAGTGGAAGGCAGTGTGGAATACGAACATTGCAGTACTTATGATTATATATGGATGAGATATATTAACGTTTATCGCTTATTTTCTTAAATTGTTATTACATATATGTATGTGTGTATGTAGCATGCACATACACACAAACAACTAAAGAAAAAGAGGCTGTAAATTAGAGAACAAGGGGATGTGGTGGTACATGGGAGGGTTTTGGAGGGAGGAAACAGAAACTGAAAATGATATAGTTATTTTATAATTTCAAAAAATTTAAAAAATAACTAAAAATATATAAAAATAGAAACTAGAGCAAAGTCTGTGTGATAGTCTATGTGAAAAAACATTGTGTTCTTATCAGAATCGCTTGTCGGATCCTGAATTTAGCTGAGCTTGGTGACAGGTACGACATAGGAGAGCATTGTTTTCCTTAATGTGCTTGTTTGGAGGACATATATTCAAGGAAGAATTATTGTAGAGTCCTTATGACACTGAGGACAACATGACAGCACCTGTGCAAGTTCCACAGTGAGCAACTACATAGCTCTTCCAACCTGGACTTTGAAGAAAAAAAAGATGAATATGAACTTCCAGTTCAAGTCGCATGTCCTATTATGGATGATTTTTTTTTTTTAAAGAAGTAGAAAAATAGGGTTGTTTATTTCTCAATCAGAATTACATGACCTGTTCCATTTTGTTTTTGATAAGGCTCTGCCATTTGAATAAACCAGGAAGCAGAAAAGTGCAATTCACAGAAAATATAAATGGAAACCATAGCAAACAGCTCTCAAAATGATTCCCAAAGCATCCTGTTACCTCATGGCATCCATGCCTTTGTGAGGCCCCCACCCCTGCTCTAGATCATACAGCAAAAGCATATTATAAAAATGGTAGACAACACTGTCTGAGACTCAGTAAACTAATATAGTCACTTCTGCTTTGAGGTGAACAGCCAAGTTGGAGCATCCACCTCAGAGAAGGAATATTCAGGGACGTCAGCTTACAGCTCTCAACAACATAGACACCTAGTCTTACTGTCCCCTAGACCTACAATCTTGCCAATAACCACAAAAGTAAGCACATAAATGTCTTCGCCTTAGACTTCTATATTGACCAGCACTAGATTCAACTTGTAAAAGACCCAAAAGTGGAGGACAGAGCTAAAATGCCCTGTTGTGGATGATTGATGGAGAATCTTTGACTTACTCTTGGTAACAGGAGCTGCTCTGAAGATAATATGCTAATTCCCCTTTTTTTCACAGCACAAGAATGTTGGGTTTTAAGAGCATTCTTCTATGTCATTCTTGGGCACTACAAGTTTCTGAGTTTGTTCAGTTCTGAAATCAGAGTTAGGTAAAGGAAGGATTAAGTGTGGAGTTCTCCATTGTCCTCCACCTCATATAGCTTGTTAAGATGGCAGGACTGTCTTCTCCTCTTACCTTATATTTATAGAATAATTGCATCTCAGAGCCTTTTCGTGTGACTCCCTAGGCCCTTCCTTTATGAACGCCAGGGATAATGTTGGATTGAAGGCATAGATTGAACATACTCAAATTGATGGTCATCTACCACTTTTTAAGAAGGGATGAGGCAACAGAGGAGAAGGAAGATAGGAGAAAATACCAAAGTGAATGATGTGTTTTCTTCAACATGTAGCCTGCATCAGTCCTCCTCATTCTCATGACTCTGGAGTTCTCTTCTTCCTTAGTATACGCCAATCTTCTAGAGACCAAAACTTGGTCTTTTATCCCCAGCTCTAGCCACTGAAATTGGGTTCTATTGTCACTATCTTGAAACAAATACACAGCTCTTGCTAATTTTTTTATTATTAGGAATGGAACCCAAACACTTTGTACAGGCTAGGTCAGTGTTCTATGCTGAATTACATGCCTAGCCTTGGTTTGCTGAGCTAGGTCTTTGGATGTATGTGTAGCCAAGGCTGGCCTTAAATTCCAGATTCTTCTGCCGTAGCCTTCTGAGGTACAGTGTGCACCCCTGTATTCAGAGATCTTACACTGTTAGTTCTCATAAATGTCGTTTAAAGTTTCTCCTGCACTTTAACGTTCATGCCCTCTCTCTTTCTCTCCCTTCTCTCTCTCTCTCTCTCTCTCCCACACACATACAAACACAGGCACATATGAATGATGCCTGTATCGCACATGTGCACGTATACACGTGCACACATACATACGTACGTACACACGAGTGCATGCAAACACATACATACTCACATACATACACACACATGCACAAAAGTCATAACAATCTTGGGGATGGAGTGGACTCTAAGAAGGCCCAGCTGGTGCCATGGGGTAGGTGAGAGGGCTGAGACTTCAAGAGGACCCAGGCAGATTCTGGGCTGGCACTCTTACCTCCCTCATTCCCTGATTTCTTTCTGTGTTTCATGAACATACTTTTAATGCTGGAGTTAGGCAGTAACCCACCCTGGCTAAAGCAGGTCTATATGAGGAAGAGTGATAAACTTAACTCGGCATCAGGGCAAAGCACCTCTTTGATAAATGTGTTTGCTCTGCTGTGTGCTGCAGCTTCTCACTGTTAGAGAAGCCTAACAGGCAGGAAGCAGAATTGTTCTGCCTTCCCACCGAAGAACCGCTTGTCCTTGGCCAACAGATCACCACGCACAGAAGCCATAACCTGGCTGGGATCATCATATCTGCGCATGACAGATGTGTTTACAATCTGTACATGAGCTATTGAGAGCCAGGCCATGAGTCACGGTCACATGCCAGGAGCCGCTTTCACAGCTAAGGCTTCATCTCTCTTCCCTTCCTCTCCCTTGTCTTTCTTTCCCACTTTCCTTTCCCTCCCATCTACTTCTCCTCTCTTCTCCTTTTGAGGCTCAGGCCAGCCTTGAACTCCTGATCTTGCCTCAGCTTCCCAAGTGCTATGGTTACAGGCCTTGGCCACCAGGCCTCGCTTTACCAGTCTCCTAGAGCTTCTGCCTATGTTTCATCTCCCCTGCTGGCCTTGCTCCTGAAATGGCTTCCTTTCTGTAAATCCACTTCTGCTTTCTCATGTCAACTGGTAGATTCTTCCTGCTCTTCATTTAAAGATGTCATTCCTAAATTAAGACTTTTGATTTTTATCTCAGCCTATGAGAAAATTTCAGCTCTCATTTCTACTGTCTACTGAGTTAATCCGGGCTGCTAGTGTTTCTGGCCTGCGCATTGTAGGATCTCTGAGTTCCCTGCTTTACCCTTTACTCTGTCCTCAGCATAGCTTCTGGAAGGATCCTCTCAAAATCTCCGTCAGCTCGTGTGAGTCCTTTGCTTAAAGCCGTTTAGTACCTTCCTAGAGTAAAAACTCCCAGAGGCCTTATTCATATTCTGTAAGTCCTCAAGCTCTGCCTACTGCCATCTATCTGTTTTCTCTACCTAAGTCCCAGGGCCTGAGCTGCAGACTTTTCTGTTGTTCTGACATAGACTTGTGCAAAGTTCCTGCCCTCAGCTCCTGCCGTGCTAATCTTACCAGGGAGTCTTCCTTTGCCATCCCAAAAAAGCACCCAGTCCTAATGAACCTGGCCCTGGGTGCTCTTTGCTGTTGCCACTTGACAGATGTGAATCCCTACAATCTGGGCTTCTGGTCCATGCCTTTCAAACGCAGCCCAGGTGAGCACAGGCCCAGGCCTGGCCTCTGCTGTCCTCTGAGCACACTCAGAACCAGGCTGATGGGACATGGGGATGAATGCATGGAGGCACTGTGTGCTATCCATCAGCTAGAAGAAAGGACACGAGTCTCTCTTCTCTACCTCTTGGCCTGAGTGCCACAACCCCCAAGGGGTTTTCTTCCTGGGTGGACACTGTGGGCTAGCCTGGATGGTAACACAGAGGATGAGCGAAGAACACCGAGAACTCAGAGATGAGTGGGGGTGGAGTGGGGTGGGAACCCAGACAGTGGCATCCTCACGTGGGTTCTAGTTTCAGTTCAGTTTTATCAAAATAGATATGAAGTTTACTTTTTCATTTGTCCAGAAAAAAAAAAAAAAAAAAAAAACACTGTTAAGGACTTGAGTATTTGTTTTGCAAGGTGGGCTTTGCTTATAGTGTGTGTTTAGGAAATCAGTACCACTGCGTGAGTAAAGTTCATTCTGACCTGAAGCATGCTAACGCAGGTCTGGGCAACAGCCTTTCCACATATACACCCATTTGTTTTCAGATAATGGTTGTCATTTGGAGCACCCATATCAAGTATTGCTTTCTTCCTCTGTGAAAGAAATAGAAACCCCACCTACCTCCTCTCTTTTCAAACATTGTATGTGCAGTGACATTTTTCTTTTCTTCTGGCACTAATGGCAGAAAATGCCATCCTGGACAACAGGGGCGGGATCTGGACAGGCTGAGTGTATTAATAGTCCTGTGGAAGTAGTGCCGTAAGTTCAGCCATCAGAAAGGTTAAATACTTGCTCGCTTATGAATCCACTCTTGTGGATTCTGTTGTGTTGAGACAGCCTCCAGGGAAGCGCTATCGTGGCTGGCACATGACTTTCCAGGGCTGCCTCCAAGAGCCCATCTCTTGTTCCCATGGTAAAAGTATCTGAAGAGTGCTTTCATCATATGCACTTGGAGCCCAGGCAGAGGGGGCCCCACAGTGACAGAGTCAGCAGAGTAAAGACGCTGCTCTCCCTCTGTTTGCTGGGTCGTTCTCTGGCTACACAGAGTCCTGTGTTTTCTAGCACCACTGACTCCTGGTGAGCAGAGGCGCATGCAATTCCCCACAGAGCCAAGGCTGCCTCCCCCGTGGCCCATCTGTCCTCCTCAGGGTTCCAGGCTAGGAGCCAAGGAAGGCCTCCTCCTGAGGTCATTCTCGAGGGGCAGAACACAAGGACTCAGCCATCAGGAATCCTATTTACAATAGCAGGGTAATAACTATGAGAAATATTAATAGCTGTGGGCTTCTGTCCCAAAATTGCAAAGCAAACAAAACAAAACAAATGTGGTTTGCCTGGAACAGAACTTTCAACTCAGACCCCATCATTTGGTTAGAATCCGTTAATGAACATTAAACTCCACATTGGAATTTTAGTTCTTTTTTTTGGTGGAATAAGGAGAAAAACAGAAAAGACCTTTAAATATGTATTTTAATATGGAAAAACCCGACAGGAAAGGTCACAGACTTTGCTGTGAAGACTGGCTGTGCCTGACAGGAAGAACACCAAGGAAGAATACGGTGCACGTATTTGCAGCGCAGATCCTGTTTCTCTTGGCTACTGAAATGCTGTTGGCATTCAGTGGCGTCAGGTTGCCCCTGCTGTTGCCCTACTGCCAGCTGCCATTCCTCCCCTGGGGAGGGAAGAGGGTCTTTGAGCTGGGAGCCTTTGCCCTGTACCTGCTTCAAAATAAAAGTACTAGAATAATTGTACTTTTTGCAGGTGTTCTAAATTTTTTTCATATTTTCAGCAATGGCGAGTGCAGAGTATGATGCAAAGCATTTCGACCAGTATGATATCATATGTGCTCAGTGAAGGCTTTACATGAGCTACAGCCTACGCCTACTTTAAAAACAACTGCTTCCTAAATTAATTTTTAACTTAACATACAAAGGAATTGGTTTCATTCTGTCATTCTCATACTTTGATCTAATTCATTTTTTTCCAAGCCCCTTTTTACTTCTTATTTTGACACAGTCTCACTAAGTTGCCTAGGCTATCTTTGAGCTTCCTCTGCACCTCAAGTTTGTAATCCTCCTTTCTCCACCTCCCAAGTACCTGGTTTGACAGGTCTGTGCTTGGAAAGTTCTACCCAGAGGGCACCCCAAAGCTTGGTTGAATCCTGTTTTTATTTTTCCAAAGACACTGGGCTGTGCCTCAGGGCATCAGGGTCACTGATAAGGTGCTACTCTGGACCAGGCCCTGCTGCTGTTGGGAGTGGCTATGGGCAGCTGCCAGCAGCCCTGTTGTTGGTGGCAAGAGTACTTCCTAGTGAGCGGTGGTCGTGGGTCTTTCCTTCTGCGTCTGTATGCTGGGAGCATGGGTTGCAGGGAGTACACAGACATTCCTGGGAATGCTGCTGTGGGTCCAGTGCCCTGCCCGCCTCCATCTGACCAGATAGGAGTGGTGAGCGGCGTTGCCAGGAAAGGGGGGGGGTGCCTAGTGTAGGCGTCAGTGTTACAGACTCACTCAGCTTTTAAATGTTCAGGTTTGGGGGAATCGTTGAACTCCTCAGTACCAACGAGAAGACAAACCTGAATTTTATCTCTAGTGCCCAGGGATAGATTCAGGACAGACTAGGTGACAGTTGGCCTGAATCTTAAGCTCAGGTAAGTGTTCCATACAGCAGGGATAGCTACAGTATTCTGTCATTGTTTTACGTAAAGCCAGGTGAATGACATTGTTACTGTAGTCTGAAATAATTCCTGCCATTTCCTGGTTTCCCTTGGCCTAGAATGGGATGTCAGACCCTTTGTGTTTCAGGCCTCTGTTAATAAAGGCACCATAAATGATATTGTTGGAGTAGCTTGCAGGGCAGTATGAGGATTGCATCACCATGCTGGCCTCGCCTTCTATGGACAATGCCTGGCTGCACTTAAAATAGCAAGATGTAGGGCAGGCCAGTTCTTTGCTTTCTCGTCCTCAGGGGAGGGCTGGGCTGTGCGGTCACTGCTGCAGTGAGCATGCTATGTGGTTAGAGCAGCGCAGGTCATGGGAGTCTGGTGTTGGAAAGCACAGAACGCTGCCATTGGGAAGTACCTTTAGCCCTGGCTCGTACACATCCTGTCACCTGGGCTCAGGGAACCAGGAGGTGGGTTTAGAGACACTCTAAAGACAGGTCCTGCAGAGCCTTGTGGGGAAGAGGATAGGCTGTGAGACTCTTATTTTGAGGGGTGGGTGCTGTTGGGGGATTAGGGAAGGAAGGTGGAAGCAAGGGAGGCACCTTTAACATTTCAACCACATTTGCTACCAGCTCTAGCTGGACTCAGGATGGCTGAGCAGTGAAGCCCTCTGAGACCCAGCAGGGTTTGAGGAACAGAGACTATTCCGGGGGAAGAGAACACTCACGGGAACTTCTGTTGTCTTCCTTCTGTGCTAGCCACAGAGATGGTGGGCTGTTGCTGCTATTCCCGCTGCTGCTGCTCTTGATGGAGCTGCTGCTGTTTCGTGCCTCTGCTGCCGTTGGTCGTTCTTACTCTTCCACTTTCTCCTCCTTCTGCTGCTACGTTTGTTGTTGTTCTGAGAAGGTCTCAGTGTAGCTCAAGCTAGCCCTCAATTATAGCCAAGGATGACATTAAGCTCCAAATCCTTCCAAGCTGTAGGCTCTTCAGTGTCTACCACCATGCCTGGTTCAGAAATGGTATAAAGACAGGACAATGAAGAATTCTTGTTGTTAGCCCAGGATGGTCCTGAACTTAAGATCCTCCTCCTCTTCCTCTTCAGTCGGAGCTCTGGGATCTTAAAATCAAGGCCAGCCTGGGACTCAGAGTGAAACCATATTTCACAGTATTTTTATTTGTTTTTTTTTTTTGTTTGTTTGTTTGTTTGTTTTCCTCTCAGTATGTGCATGTAACTTTTTCAAGTGGACACTAAGTGGTTAGGGCATTGATACTTATTAAGCAGACCTAATTATTATCGGAAGCTTTAGTTCTTTATTTTGATTTAGGGACACCATGAAATATTGCTAAGTCAGTGTGAGTGGTCTGATTCACATTCATTTGGAGTGCCCTTGGACCACACTGGTAAAGACGATTTCAGTGTATTTTGCATTGGTGTGGGTCAAGGGGAAAAATAAAATAAAATAAAAATAAAACAACAAAAAGCACCAAGTGACAATCCCTTACAGAAGAAGCTGAGATGGACCACTGGCTCCCTCACAGCTTTCACCTTCCTTTGTAGCTGTGTGCTGTTTGCGTGCTGTCTAAACACACCTTCTTTTGTTTTCTTCTTTCAGAGAGTGGGTTAATCGAGCTCCATCCATTCATTTTCTGAGAGTGTTAATTTGTCTGAGGCTGCTAATGAGGGATCCATGTTATCAGGTTGGTTGGAAAAAGTAAAAAAAACTTTCATTCACTTGTAACAAGAATTAAAACACAGTGGGCTTTTCTTCGAAATTAATGTTTTATTGACAAGTCAAGGCCGTCCAAATGTGGTAAACAGCTCACCTGGCATTTAAAAAGAAGATTAGGAGGAAGTGATTTGCATGCCAGTACCTCTCCTTGCTTATACTTAATCTGGAAGGTTCAGTGACTGAGTTCTGGTCTATGTGTTCACTATTATCCAAACTTCGAAGCCATTTCAAGTTCAAGGGCGTACACAGTAGGCCACACGCTGAAGCATGTTTAAAGTCACGAGGCTCACTAGCGCAGAGTCAGCAGTGACAAGATGGGAGCTTGCTGTGTGACTCCAGAGGCAATACTTAGGAACAGCAGGGCTGTAGCCTGTTAGCTGCCAGGAACCATCCCTTCCTAGCTTCTAGATGGTAACTCTGCCCAGGAGAGTGTAGGGCCTCCCTTCTGTTGGTGTTAGGGGAGGGACCTGTAGCGAGAATCTTCCCCTTTTATCACTAGTTGGATGTGTTGCTTCTAGTTTATAATGTGCCCACAAATCAATGGGGATCTCCTTCAACGGGGATCTCCTTCAACGGGGACCTCTTTCAACGGGGACCTCCTTCAACGGGGATCTCCTTCAATGGGGACCTCCTTCAACAGGGATCTTATTCAGTAGGTGGGAACAAACCCTTGATTGTACGTTTCTTTTTACACATTATTTTTCTTTATGTGCATGTGCATGTGTCTGTTTTGGGTATATGTTACATGTCTGCCTGTGCCTAAAAGAGGGGGTTGGATCTGTGGAAGTGAAGCTGCAGGTGGTGTGAGCTACCTGGTGAGGGGTGCTGAGAACCAGACTTGGGTCCTCTGCAAGAGCAGCAAGTGTTCCCAAGCACTGAGCCATCTCCTCATCTCAATTCTGCATTTCTAAAACAATTCCAGGAGATGTCAAGGCTGCTGGGCCGTAGTTTGTCTTGAAGAGCAAGGGCTTAGTGTGCTAGTAGTGAGACTTTAAAGAATGGACTACGCCGGGAATCTAGGCTATAAGCTTACTCTTTCTAGCCTAGCTTAGAGCTAAGGAAGAAGCTGCAGAGTGCTGCTGTTTGCCAAGTTTACTGTGTTTCTGAAGCACCCAGAGGTGTTTCTGATCAGTAGTTCTGTGGGTAAGCAACGAGAGTGTCAGCTCCTCAGAAATGAGGCTGCTGGCTGGGCTGGCACAAAGTGAGCCACCTCACAGCTACTTCTGTTCAAAGTGTTAATATCTCAAGCATGACTGTTATTTGGACACACTGTTTTTTGTTTTTTGTTTTTTCTTCTTTCAAAGGATCTTATTTTATGCTGAGTCCTTATATGCTACTGGGAAGCTCACGCCACCCAGACTCTTATCATAGATAAAGTTTTATTGGTAGATTCCTATTTAATGCAGAATGTTCCATTTCATTTCCCCACTCATCATGTTTCCCAAAAGCAGCACTAAAACAAAATGTGTCTCATCCTTATTGGAGTGTTCTGGGGCCCTTGGTCACTGTCTATCTTCTGTTTAGAGTCTGCACAACCTTCCCTACATATATTCTAAACCAGCCTTGTGCTGTTACAGCCAACTGCAACCGCCAAGCATTGTGTCCTGGTTTTCCACAGTCCTGCTACTTAGAGCTGGGTGAACCATGCTTTTCAGGGCTGCTTCTGCCAAGCAGTGTGAGCGGCATATAGAAGGAAGAACATGAGTTTGGTTTTTCCTTCAGGACAAAGTGTATTGATTGCTCCCACTTCATCAATGTTAGCTGCTTGTTTCCTCTCTGATAAGTCTCAGTTTGGATAAAAACACCAAGTGCAGAATGTTAAAGAGTATTTGAGGAGGAACAGCCAGTTCTCAGACTTGTAAGACATTAGCAAGTTTTACCTCAGAATACCTTGTTTGCTAAGAAAATTGGTCACTGCTGATCTGCTTTTAAAGCAAGGCCATTGTCAATGCTATCTCTGATTGATTGGCAGAAGGTAAATTATACTCCTCTTTAAAGCAAGGAATGCAGTGACTACTTTGTTTATATTTTGATACAAGTGTCCCTGCTTGACAGTCTTTCCATAGAAGGGGATTCTCCCAGAGCCTCTGCTCCTGGCATGCCTCCCACACAGAAGACTGTGTGCTCTGCCAGTTGTATAACCCTTGGGCTTGCCAAGAATTCTTGGCCAAACTCGCAAGGCCATGCTAGGGATTACTACAGCGTCCTCCAGTGAACGTCAGCAAGCCGTTGTCACCACTGCCCTTTCCTCTGCCCTCACCAAGCCAGTGTGCAGCTCTAGACTGCCGATCTAAACCATCCCCACTTTTCTTGCCCCGTCATTGTCCTTCCTGCCCTTGTCCTCAGAAACTCACATCGTGAGGTTTACAGATGAGCCACAAATCGCATCGCTGACAGCGTTCTTATTTTCTTAGTTCTTTGACACATTTGGATCATTGTGCAACTTTTCCCCCTTCTTTCAGGAGTAATGTTCCTTCTTCTGGCCAGGTTTTATTCATCTTTTACCTGTCCTTTTTCTTATGGTGCTTCTCCTTTTGTTTCTCCTTATCACAAAATTATCTTTTCTCTTTTTTGCTTTCATTAATTTTTTCTTGCTTTTTTGTTTTTTTCTATATCAGAATTTCACTATGTAGCTTAGACTGGCCTCTAACTGAGAACCTTCTTGAGGTCTGGAGCCCTGGGCGTAGAGGAATGCACTGTATAATACCTGGATCCCAGAAAGCACCCCTTTCTTGGGCTGGCTGTCCAGGTCGTCTAACCTTTATGACTTACTTTTTCTTTTAAATGTTTAAAAATTTTGTTTCAATTGATTTACTATGTATGGAGGTAGGGAGGGTATGTAACAGAGCACATGTAGAAATCACAAGAAAGCTGATGGGAAGTATCTCTCATCCACTCTTTAGGCCCCTGGAATGGTACTCGGTCATCAGGCTTAGCAGCAGGTCCATTCATCTGCCGAGACTCTCCTGCCAGTCCCCATGACGTCACTTCTTAAAGGCTATCTTCCCAGCTTACTTGCTCCCATCAAGTTGATGTTCCACATGACTTACACACTGAACTTAGGGCAGCAATTTTGCTCTGGAAGCCAGTTAGCCGGCCAGTCATGTGCAGCCAGGCCTCCTTTTGACTGAGATGGCTTACAGACATGCCTGTTAGCAATGAGGAGGCTTAGGTACAGGTGTAATGGAGCTTCCAAACACGAGAAAGATAGACAAGAACAGAGAAACCATTTTTAGAGCTAGAGTTTTTAGAATATTTTTGTGATTAGAGTATTTAAGTCAGATTTTAAGTACAGACCTGGTCCGCCACAGGATTCACCTAAGCTAATGATAGGAATCTCTAACAGTTGGCTTGTGAGAGGCAAGAATAGATCTTAAAAGTCGCTAGGCTGCAGTTGCATTAGAAATTATGGGAAGTCGTGCTGGTAAGAGAGGCTTTCTTGATTGTCCTTGACCATGTGGCAGCAGAGACAGCACCACATTTGCGTGGGCTTTGCTGCTCTCAAGAGTCCTCCCTCTTACCTAGCACCTGAGTGCTAGTTGCTTTGTCCTATTTTTAAATCTTGGCTTCTCCAAAATGTTCTCTCCCTCGTTAATGTCATTGCTTGTAGCCTGAGCTCCTGACTTCACCACCTATCATTTGCTGTTGCTGCTTTTTATCCACGAGCTTCTAATTTTAGCCCTGAGCATTTCCAAAGTCTAACTTTTAAATTTTTTTTAATGATAGGAAGAAGTACAGAGGATGGAAGGCAGGCTACAAAATGGGGTTTTGTTTGTTCGCTGTTTGTTTTTTTAATCTCAAGAAACATAGCTTTTATATTCATTAACTAATTATTTTAAGTATGAACTAAACACTGAGTATTCTATGTTTAGGTTAGAACTTGAAGAAACAATAAAACATCATACAACTTAGTAAAGATGCCACTTGTAAAATATGTACCTCTTGTTCTTCAATATGCTCTATCGCTTTTATTTTTATTAGGAAATACTCCATAAGTTGGGTGGGATTGAAGACCTGGCTCAGGTAAGATTGCTTCAACCATAGCTGGTCCTGCCTTTGCATTCCGGGGGAAGTTCTAGCCACGGACTACACAAGCAGCAGTGGGCTAGGCTAGGGGCCTGGTTCTCTCTAATGCCTCAGATCAGAGGTACGTGAGGTAGCCAAGGGATGACCTCTCCGGCTTGTCTTCGGAAGACATGAAGGGGATCTTCTTGTGCTTGAGCTCAAATCAGGAGCTGCTAATGCTCAAGGCAATGAACAAACTTGTCTGTGTCTGCTGCCTGCTAGGGCAGGAGCAGATCAGGTTGACCCTGAAACATGACACTCACAGTCATTAAGTATTCATAAGTTGAAGATAATGTAAAGAAAGATCTTGATTTTAGGGTTTTTTGCATTGAAAAGAATTTTATAAAAATTATTTAGCTTCATACCTTACAGTATTTTAAATTATACTACAAGGAATGACAAACAGGTGACTAAGACCTATGAAATTTATTTATTTAGTAAACATCTATGGTGTTTACTTATTTTAGTGTTTTATAATCTTTTCAGTATAAAAGCACTCCACCAGCAAACTCTATCCCAGCCTTTATGTGTACTTATATTTTTGTACCTTTTGATATGGACTTTACCATGGAGCTGAGGCTGCTTCAAATGTCTAGTCTTCTTGTCTCAGTTCCTCTAGTAACTAAATAACAGGTATACACACACCCTGCTATTTTATTCATTTATTTATTTTTCTCATTCATCTTTCTATGAGAAATAGTCTCACCGTGTAGCCCAGGCTGGACTAAAGCCCCTAAAAGACTTGCTCCAGCCTCTTGAAGGCTGGGATTAAAGTCCTGTGTCACCAGCAAAAAGTGATTGATGAATAAATTCAGTCTTAAAACTCATTCTGAGCAATTAATAGAAGATTATGCCTAGTGGAAATGTTATGATTTGAATAGGAAATTCTGCTACAGTCACCTCTACTGATCCTTGATATATAACTGGTGGTGCCGTGTGGGAGTCAATGGAAACACTGAGAGGCAGGTACTAGCTGGAAGAAGGAGGTCACTGACTTGCCACGGAAATCTACCTGCTCTGGCCCTTCCTGTTATTCTTTCTGCTGCATGACTTGAGCGTCTTCTCTCTGCTTCATTTCCTTTAAATTGTTTCTCAGTGTTTGTCACAGCTATGAAAACTAAACACAGCTTAAGTCCTGGGAAGGTGATCCATGTTCAGTTTTTAAAAAGAAATTTAGTTGAAGATTTGCCTCACTGAATGAAGTGAATGTCCATATGTTGTAAAGAGTATTATCACTTTATCTTCTGTTCTCTTATTGCATGTGCTTTTCTGAGCCTACTTCTTAGTTATTGAGAGCAAGGAATTATTAGATATCTTTTTTCATTCTTATTAATTTTTATATGTATACTGGTTAAATATAATTTGGGGTATTATAATATATATATATATATATGCTGTGTTACATTTTGCTGCAAGGTAAATCAAAGAACCAAATTACCCCATGTATCTTACACATATTACACCATGAAATTACTCAGTTACAACTCATTCTGAAATTTCTGAGGGTTTTCAGAATTCCTTCAACTTTTGGGCCATTCAGGAAAAACCATGAATCACTAAACCCTGTACCCTGCCCTGAGCACAGCTGGCCCAGGAGTACTGAGCAGTGGTTGGTTTCTGTCTTGCTATCTGGGGCCCATCCTAAGACCTGTACTCTTGTTTCCTGTGTACTTTTGGTGCTAGTTTTCTGACTGGCTGGTTGGGTTGCTCTTTTGTTCAGTACATGGAGATTGTGGCCAACGAGTACCTGGGTGACGCTGAGGAGCAGCACTGTGTGGACAAGCTGGTCAACATGACGTGTAAGCATTGTTGTCAGGCCCACAACTGACCTTGTGGACTTGCTGGAAAAAGGAGTGTGATGTTCTCAGCAGGAGAAGGGACACCTGCTGCTCTTCCTGGTGCGTCAGTCTCCCGGTGTGTGCATCTGTGCCAACTGGTGGATTTGGTAGCACATGTCCTCACACCTCCCCATGGCAGCTTGTTCTTTAGCAAGCACATTTGTTTCAAGAAAGAAGTCTTCCATGCAAGCAACGTCTGGTGAAGAGTTTTACCTTCCACTTTCTGTGAAAATTTCAGGCTTCAGTGTTTTGCCTCTCAAATTTGGGTAGTAATTATAACTAGCTCAGATGATTTGGACCATTCGGAGCATGAAAAGGAACATTTGGAGTCTCACCTGAAGATGGCAGCGCAGATGCTGTGGTGTGGGACTGAGGCATCTTAGTCATTCCTCTGGTTTCTCTGGGAAGCCTGACCAGCTTCTTTCCCCACCTTTTTCTCCTCCCTGTCACCCACCCCCTCTCCACCTTGCAGTCCCTCCATCTCCACCTTCCCCTTTCCTCTCTCTCCCCCACCCCTTCCAGTCTCTCTAGGTGTGGCAAGCCACAGGCTTCCTGGGCTCAGGGTGCCAGTTCAAGCCCATTGTCTTTGTGTGGACAGACTGGTTTCCCATGCTTGCTAGCTGGGAACACACTGGCTCTCAGGGGCAGGGGAAATGCCAGGCACCAGGAAGTGACTTTGTGGGCAGCTCTCTCAGTGCAAGAACCTTTCCAGGTTTTACGTCCTCCCTGGGCTCCCTTCTCTTTGTAAGCTGGGGCATCTATGAACAGAGTCTTTTAAGTACCTACCTTGACCTTGTATAAGAATTAGAAACCTGTTCAACTTTAAATACAAGCGGAGTTTGCTTTTGTGGTGTTTTTTATATTTACTACATTCGATGAACTCCTAGAGTTGAAATATACAGTTGTGTTCTCCATTGTTCCTTTTGTGGGTCTGTGTTCTCATTTTCCCTTTTTCTACTTGCCTATCCCTTCTGAAGACCAGGGGTTCAGAGCCTACTGCCTCTTTTAACCTCTGGACCTCCCTTTGAGTTCTTTCTTTCTTTAATAGATATTTTTCAAAAACTCGCTGCTCTGAAAGACCAAAGAGAATGGGTCACTGCAAGTGGAGCCCACAAGGTGAGTGGCCCCCAAAGAGCTTGAGTCCCACATGACCCTCTATGAGGTCAGTTCACATGCCCAAGAGCAGGGCCTGACACTCAAGCTACATGTCATTATAAGTCATAAAACTGTTCACCCCCTCTAAAATTATGATTTATCTCCTCACTTTGTTATGTTCTTTACCAACTGCCAGCTGAGTACATTACTTAACTTTAATGTTGTAAATGGAATGGAGCTGTTTATTGTTTATTTACAAACATACACATGAAGTTCTGCAAATAGAAGAGCTATGTTTACATATCCACAAAGCCAATCCATCCGGTAGGGTTTTATTAGTTAGGGTTATATAAAATCACCGTTTTCTGTAAGTCACAGGTGGCTGACTACGGCAATTTCATGCAATGCACATTCACGAGGTGGTATAGTATTATAGCCATAGGGATCAAGTGTTCATTTCAAGGGACTGGAGACACGGCTCAAAGAAAGAACATTTGCTCGCCCACTATGCCTTCAGTCCTGGGCTCTGCATTCCCAGCAACACCATATATTCACACATGCACACATGCAAACACACACACGCACACACACACACACACACAGTAGGTGTGTATTCCCCTCAAAATAAATGAATGCACGTTTAGTTGTAGCAGACTATATTTATTCCACCATTTAACAGGCAGATGTATAGCGCTGATTTCAACCACCTGTTAAGCCGCGGTATCTCAGGAAGCCACTGTGCTTATCTGATCACAGCCGCCTGAATTAGGTTATTTACACCGCTTACGGTCTAGGGCAAGGTTGGTGCACAGCACTTTTCCCTTCAACAGATAGTCATTTCACTGCTGTTGCTTAAGGTTTGACAAAAAAGTAACATTGAGTTGTTAAGGTGGCTTGGCAAAATTTTTGAAAATGATGCTTGTTGAATTGAAGTTTGTGAAACACTTTGGATGATGGGGAGGATGAGGAAGGAGTCAGAGAGAGATGACAACTTCAACGTAAGAAAGTATAAAAGGGATCCACATGATGGAAACAGAAACCCATCCCAGCAGTCACGTCACAGACTGCAGCTCCGAGTAGAGCATGCTTGGCGAGAATGCCTTGGGGGTCTGTGTTCTGAAAACTTAGGAGGAGGAGAATTTATATTAATGAGGGTTCAAGAAAGGCATTATTTTCTAAGGAAAACCATGACACATTAAGCAATTTGGTCCTATTTTTGAAAAGGTTATGTTTTTAGTGGTTCATAACCTTTGGGTTGTGACCCCTTTGAGAGTTGAATGGTACTTTTGCAGGGGTCACATATCAGACACTTACATTGTGATTCTTAACAGCAGCAACATTACAGTTATGAAGGGTCAACGAAATAACTTTTTGGTGGGGGTCACTACAACATGGACTGTATTAAAGGGTCGCAGCATTAGGAAGGTTGAGAACCACTGGTTTATAAAGACATTCAATACCACTTTAGTGGGAAACATTAGGAAGAAAACAAATAATTAATTATAAAATTATATATACAGTTCTACTTGTGCACATATATATTTTTAATTGAACAAATGAAAATAATCCAGAAGAAAACAGGAAAAGGTCAGTGTCTGTGCTCTTTAGAAACAGTGCACCATTCAAGAGGCTTCTGTAATTATCTGTTCTCCTCCATTTTCCAGACTTTAGTGAATTTACTTGGTGCCCGAGACACCAATGTCCTGTTGGGTACTCTTCTGGCACTCGCCAGCTTGGCAGAGAGGTGAGTGTATCTCAGGATGCTCTGCAGCGTGGCTGCTATGGCGTTGTGGGTAGGAGCTTGCAAACGCACAAGCCGACATGTTGCCTACTCCGTGAAAACCTGGGGTGGGAGGCACATGGGAAACCACAGATGTTGAAGGATCACCTGCTTAGGAAGCACAGTTTTACATCTAAGTTAGAAAGGGAATTTTCTCTCGCTGACCTACAACGGGCATCCCACTTGCTCTCACATCTCCAACATCTGTTTAGAGGAACATCACTGATGGTCTCCCTTCCTTTGACCATCAGAACTACTACATTTTCATGCCAGTTGAATCTCCCAGACCTTATTTCTTCATTCTTACCTATACAGTTCTCATAACATATAGGACATTTTTAATGGAAACCTGTCCTTGGATAGTGTCATTGTTTTAAATGAAAGAGCTATAAGTATACTTTCACTTCAATGAGCAGATCATTATGTTTTTGTAAACAGCATACAATTTCTTGTTTCCTTGTGGTCTCTTTTCATAGCTCCTTACAAGGTATTTAAGTTATTTCCTATTGCTGTGATAAAACACCATGGCCAAGCCAAATTATAGAAGAGAAAATTTATTTGGGGCTTACAGTTTCAGAGTGTGCATCGTGATGATTATGGTAGGGAGAATGGCAGCAGATAGGCAGGCATGGCACTGGAGTACTAGCTGAGAGCTTCTATCTTGAGAAACAACCATGAGGCAGAGAGAATTAACTGAAGATTGCCTTAGTCTTTTGAAACCTCAACGCCTGTCCCTAGGAACACACCATCTTCAGCAAAGCCATACTTCCCAATTCTTCCCAAACAGTTCTCCTTAGCAGGGGCCAATTATTCAAACACATGGACCTATGAGGGCTCTTCTCATTCACACTACCACATAAAGTATCTGATCACTAGGAAGAACAAATGTAGTAGCCTGGGTTTTTCCTAACTAATAATATTTGTGTATTTGCAGTCCAGAGTGTAGAGAGAAGATCAGTGAACTCAACGTCGTAGAAAACCTACTGATGATTCTGCATGAATATGACTTACTCTCCAAAAGGTAGGGCCTCATCTTTATGAAAATGCTTCTATGGTGGAACATGGAATTGGTATTCATTTAAATCTGTGATCTTGGGCCAAGGTCATTCAAGTTTGGCTCCAGAATAAACTGTCTGATATTCTCTCTCTCTCCCTCTCTCTCTTTCTCTCTCTCTAAAAAGCTGTTTTATTTGTGGTAAAAATACTTTTTATTACATCATTATTTATGTTGTTAGTTGAATATGGTGAATCAGCTTTGCCGTTCTTTCCCATTTAAGGCAATATGAAGAAGCTAGAAGAAAGAGGTACATGGAATCCAATCATACAATCTTGTGATTGCATCATTTTAAATTTTTTTTTTTTTGTTGTATTTGTCTAAATAAAAACTTTATTTAGGGAAGAAACTTTAAGTTGGCTCTATTTTTTTTTTTTTTTTGTAATTTCCAATTAATGTGTGGAATAAGGAAAGTTGCTAAAAGCCGTTGTGTTTAAGGCAAGTGAGATAAGATGACTAAACTGCATTGTGATCACACATTAAAACTGACAACAGAAGCTGAAAAAAAATAGGTTCCTTTCTGCTGAAGCTGTACATTGCTCTACAAGAGGGCTCTGTACAGGCGTTTATTAGGTTTACGTAGGCGTGCACATCTGCATTGTTTGGCCTTTAAATCCAAACTTTTTGAGAAGCCAGGAGTGTAGAAATCCTGAGCACTGGAGATAGGATATTTGCTGCGTATTTTTTAAAATTGTTTTTCAAAGCTGACCTCAACACTGTTGCGTGTTGGTATAGACAAGAATCTATGCTTTCTGACCTAACGATGTGAAGTGTGACCCTGTCACAGTGGAATAAGACCAGATTGCGCAGTGTGAGGTGGGGGCAGGGAGGGAGACCTCCCTGGGTCCTTGTAGGACAGTGGCGCCCTGGAAGGTGCAGTCAACAAGGCTCAGTTAGAAGAGAGATTCCTGATGGGAGTGAAGGGAGACAGAAGAAAATGTCCAGGCACAGTGTGTGCTGCAGCATAGAGTCAGGCCCTGGGTGAGAAGAATGTGCTGGCAGGCACAGCTGGTGTAAAGGACACGAAGTGTTGGAAAGCTAGAACAGTCCACGATAAATCAAAATTGTAGCCAATTCTGATCAGTTTCTACCCTATGTCAGGACATTCCCTGAGCCCTCCTGAGTGCTCATTTTATCTACACAAAACTCAAAATTTCTTCATATTTTACAGATGAAGTAACATAACATGTTTATCCGGGTTTTTAGGATGGGTTTTTCATGGTGAGATGCACTCTGCGCAAACAAAGAGTGTTTCTTGTAGAAAGTTTGAGATGATAAAGTATGCTGCTTACCAAGGAGGATGCTTTCTTCCTTGTTTGAGACCAGGTTGATAAGCCCTCCCTGAGCTGGTCTTGCCCTTACAGTGATTCTTCTGCCTGCTTATAAAGGGCTGGGATTTCAGGCTTGAGCCACTGCTCCTCTTAGAACATGTGTTCTTAACATCAGAGCTGGGAGGGGAGTGGGGCTTGAGATGGAGAGGAGCGTGTAGAAGTCCTATGGGAATAGAATTGCAAAGCAGTGTGGGAATGTGAACCCTGAAGAATGTTGAAGAGAAGGGGAAGAACAAACATTCTGCTCCAGAAAAGGACAGATGTGAAATTACCCTCCAGAAAATGAGCTTTATCAGGAGAGAGGGCTACATAACCACTCGCCATGGTCAGGCTTTGAGGTGGAAGAACAGAAAAAGGCAGCATGATGAGGTTGTGATGTGGGACAGCATTGTAGATGTGATTAGCTTAATGCGAAGGAGACACAGCCACCATGGATGCGAGGTGTATGTGAAGGACTACAAAGGTGGGAGAGAGGCATACATACATACATACATATATGGAGAGATAGATAGATAGATAGATAGATAGATAGATAGATAGATAGATAGATAGAGATAGATGATAGATAGATGATAGATAGAGGTTAGACAGAGATAGATAGATAGATAGATAGATAGATAGATAGATAGATAGATAGATAGATAGA